TAAGAAACAAACAATTGAAAACGGTTTGAGTATAAGTACTACTTTCCTGGTACTCAAAACTGACACACAAAAGGCCACCTTTGTTCCAACGACATGAATGTAAACTTACCATTAGAGGACATCTACAGCGAAATCCGTCTTAACTGCATTACTCAAACGGTCAGCTTTGTGGAAAATCACTTTAACTTCTCAAAACAGGGCTTATTTGAGCGCTTGGCTCAGAGTATAAGGACATTAAAATGTTTCCCCAAACAAGTGAATCTAATCTTTTGCTCAAAGCATAAAGTAAGAGATGACTCATAGGCCCTGGCTGCGATTCAAGAACGCCGAGATCGTAGAATACACAAAAGGCTAGTTCGGATATATTTTTCTTTCGCCATACCTTTTCCTTTCCTTTCGCTTTTATTTTTATCCCCTTCACCGCATATTTCAGTGTTCCTACTGTTTTCCTGGGGTGCCTCAGTTGGGCTTCGAATCAACCTTTCGCAAGAGCATCCTGTGTCGCGCTTTCCACCTTCTGTGGAGAGGTGCTCTTAGTTACTATAAAAACATCCTGACTGTGTGTGGCTTCTGTAGGGGCCATAGTGGTAGTGCTGGTATGTCTCCCTGTTGATTATAATGATATCGTCAAGCGAAGATATATTATAATTAAAATGCTTAACTCTATATTATTCTGTAATGAGCTCAATTAAATCTAAGAAGATTTATCAGATGGCGACGAGATAAAATAAAAAAAGAAACAACCTATCGTCGGCTAGTTGGTCAGATGTCCGAGGCTCTTTTTCCTTTAAAAAAAATAAAAAAATAATTCTTTTTTTTTTGCGGGTTCTCAAACATATTTTGTCAAAGATCACATTCTGAATTTTAAAAGAATCGAGAAAAGATATATTGGGTAGACACAGTCGTGAAAAGAATGAAACGTGCTTTTGTCTCTCCTGAAGCATTTTTCTTTAGGGGGGCTTAGGACATTTATTTGAACTGCTTGCCAACGCCGCATTGTTTACTTTCTATGTAGCTCCAGGTACAAAGGGCCATGCTTCTGCATATCACTCAACCCCCACCCCCCACCCCCCCACCACCTCCATCATCCTCACTACCCATCGTGTAAGAATAAATAATAATCTCTATGTGTCGCAGATCCGTACAGGCTATACGCTACTAATTGTATTATTCTATACGTTCCATTTGAACATTTTTGCACCGCACATTAAGGCCTCAATTTGGCTGAATGTTTGAAATTTTGACATTTGGGTACTGCAGAAAAGGTCACTCATTTTAGAATATAAAATTTCTAGAGTGAACAAAAAAGTCTTAGTTAACCAGATGACAAGGCAGAATAAAAATCAGTTAGTCTTCTCATTTCCGCAAGTCCCAAACAAAAGGCTACATAGAGAGATGTCATGAGTGGTTAGCGGTTGATCTGGTGTGGTTTGCTCCTTCTTTCCTGTCACATATCTGTTATCCTTATCTCTTCTTCCTTTTTATGTTTGTTACTCTCTTGTAACTCCTCTAATCGTTGGCCCTTATATGACCTTATTGTGTTGCAAGTGCCGTAAAACTCTTACTAAAACTAAAGAGAGAGGCCGTGTACAAAATTTTCGGCACAGGTGACGGCAATTCAGATCTTTGATAAGCTGAAAACCTTTTTCTTCTATTCAGACCTTTCCTTTTAGTTGCTTGTTCCCTGTACAGTAGATCAATAGCACAAACAAACAAGAGTCAGGAATCCCTTAGCGCGGCTCACTCCGAGCGAGTTCCCGCCTTATTCAGTCGATACCAGGCATCTCCCAGACGTCCAGAGACGGCCGTGCCGGACTGACTTGGCCTCCGCGTGGAGATTAAAAAAGTGGACACGCATTTGTATCAAGGAAACGTCAATGGCCGCGCTTCTCTCGTCTTTCTTAATCGCAATTGATCTTGGCGGCTTAGCGTGCCCATGTTTGGATTTGGCCGTGTGGGGATGGATGGACGGTGGCCATCCTTCAGTTTTGGCTAATGGATGGACGCGGCTTTTTGCAAAGGCAAGGACAGCGAGCTACCACAACACACAAATATTGCTTATCTACATTGAAAACGTATTGTGTAGGTTCAGTCTTTGTCGCTGGCTTCTTACATTGTTTGTTTTTTGTTATTAATGTTTTAGGCTATTGGCCTTTCAACTATACTATCATATTTGCTGTGTTAATCTCTCTCTCTCTCTCTCTCTCTCTCTCTCTCTCTCTCTCTCTCTCTCTCT